CCCCTAAAAAAAAAAAAAAAAAAAAAAGATAGAAAACTCATTCACACATAAAGCAGATTTATTATTAGAGTATAATTATTTGGAAAGAACTCTCCAACAGACCGCATGGAAGTTTGTCATAAATTCTTCGGTAATATAAACCTATTGATTAAAACTGAGGTAATCAAATATTATAAACTTCTGGGACTAAAAATGGTTTACCGTAATTCGGTTGGCACGCTCCTCATCTAGTTTCTCTTTTTTCCTTTGTTCTATGTAAGCATCATATGCAAAAGGATCCGCCAGTGATTTTGCCTGCAAAGTCACAAGCATACATAACAAAAAGTAACTAGCTCAGCACTTCGAATATTCTCAATCAACATGATACAAAAATTTCTCAGGGTACTGTAATTCGGTAACCCCACGATCTATCAAAATTAAGCAACATTTCTCATGTATTTAATACTCAGGTAGTTAATACTATGTCATACTCTAAAGAAAACCATAAATTTACTCCTAAGCAGATAAAACAATAAATTTAACCGCTATGCTACAAACCATAAAATTACCTTTTTATACAAGCGATAATCAATAAAGAAACCATGAAGGTAAGCTCTTAGCAGATTAGTCCCAATCAGGTTTGTCAAATTTAGCCTCTCAAGTTCTTCTTTTGTCAAGAACTTGAAATCATCATATATAGTTGTTTCTGCACCCTCCTCCAACTCCTCCTACGTTAAGACAAATAAAGTATTAGCATTACTAATCCGAGATCCCAAACAAAGGAATACAAAAGAGAATAAGTTCCAAAAGCTCACCGTCAAATTCTCCAAATAAGAGCACCACTTTGGTGCAGGTCCCAGCGCAGGCAGAAAGTAAGAAGGTATTTGACTTGAATTCAAAGCTAGTAGCATCAATCCACTGTCCTTGAATACACATGTATCATTTATTGGACCAAGCGTGGGCTCAATGCTGGTCATTCCTTCTCCCTAAAACACATTATTTTCATAATTGAAAGAAGATATCAGGAATTTTGGTTTGTCTACCAATGACTGAATACAAGTTTTGCTATTAATCAAAAGAAAATGAGAAACAGAACATGTGGTTTAATAACAAAAGAACAGTTAACAAATAAAGCCTTTAATTAACAAATTAAAATAATTCTCAAAAATTCAGAATACATATAATGTTTAATACACAGCAATCTACCATTGTAATGTCAAAGACATACCATTGACTTTAGTAAAAAGAGATTTACACCTAGCTAAATGCATGTTGCTCGAAGTTTTATTTTTGTCTTTTAATAAACTGTAAAAACAGAGGTAGAGATTTCTTACAGTATCTGGGTCCCAAATCCTAACAATGTGCTTGTCAGTGGTAATCATTTTTGGTTTTTCAGAATTAAGAGTGCTATGCCACTTAATGTTCAGAATTGGACTGTCGTACCTGCAAAATAATCATATTACTTTTCAGTACGTGATGGTTAAAACTCTCTAAATTTAATGAAAGAAGGTAAACTCACATGTGATCTTTGATTCTTATAGGATCTGATGAACGCAAATCGTATATCAAAATCTGCATGTGATGTGATCATATCAATCAGGTCAAAATATAAATAAAAATTGATATCCGAAGATACAGGAAATTATGGAACTGCAGTACTTCTCAAAAACCGTGGTAGAAAAACTTGGACATGATCAGGAGCAGTAAAACTTTTGGAGATACATTTTGCAGTTTTTGAGGAAGTGTTTCCTTTTCTGACTGCTAGGTGGTGTTTCTCTAAGTAGAGGCACTTGTAACTATTCTCCTTTTTTCTATTCAAATCCATTGGGGAGGTTTTTGTGTTCACTTTAACTATGGGATGGTTGGATTCCTTATCCTTATTTAAATGAGATTCATCACGATTAGGGTAGAAGTTAGAAATATTACCAAGATATTAAGGGTTTGTTAGTCATTGAACAAGGAGTTTGTGGGTAGGAATTGGTTATGATTTATTAAATACACGCAAATGAAGGAGATGAAGGAAGGAATAGTTTTAATTGTTTTTTAGTTGGCTTAGGCATGAGTGTGCTGATGATGAAAGTTTCATGTGTAGCGTTACTTATTTCCTAATCCTGTTACAGGCCCCAAAAGGATGGGCAAAAACAAACAGTAAGAAGAAGGTAGCCAACAAAAACTTATGCACTTCTGCATCCATAATACATCAATAAGAAAAAAGAGAACCAGTAGTGAATGTGTTCCCGGTGGGGCGGCTATCGTCAGTGTTCTAGTACAAATCATATCTCTATCTTTTTCAAAGCACGTCAAGACCAAAACAAAATGTAATAATCACAGTGCTTGAATTTTCTTTAACTGAAAAGAGGGCCGGGGGTAGCGCATTCTTTTTTGGGCCCTATGTGTAGGCTATTTACAAAAAGTGGAAAGCTCCAACCAGAGTCTGCCATCACCGTTGTTAATTTAGATTTTCATCCTTGATGCAATCATTCAATATTCAGGAAATTCATATAGATTTCAATTCCAAGAACACCACAACTAAGGAGATGAAGCTTTACCTTTCCTGAGCTACTGCCGACGGCCATTTGGAATCCACCAATATCATCAAATGCTAATGCAGTAACCTCCTGCATCACAAAAATATAATATTCAGTATTTTGTTGATTAAACGTTTCACTTCTGCACGAGATCTCATTGAAACCTTGAGAGTTTACAATTGGGCCATAAATTAGTATTTAAATAAAAGCCATTGCAACAAAACACTGAAGCCTAACTAAAAAAAAGAATAAAACTGTCATTTAAAAACATAAGTAACCATCAAGATGCTTCCCGTCACGTTGATATGTATGTAATTATTCACAATGGATCGAACACTCGTTGTTGGCATACTACCCAGAACAAGATTTTACCATAGGTCAACAAGGAGAATTACCTGGTCCTTATCTCCTGCAGGTGCAATAGCATCAATTCTTCCAATTGAAGATAACTTCGTTCTGGTGTCAAAACATTCTACAGCTCCATCTACACCCCCACAAGCAACTATCCCATGAAGCTTGCTACAATTGTTGAACATACTTTTAACTTGGATAAAATATATGAAACTACGTGATTCACTACTCAATAAAGAAAATCAATCAATTGACACGAGAAGAGTATGATAACAAGAATGAGATTAACTGACCTTCGAGAAACAACATTTATTGCTGGGGATTCTGTGTTGAGAGGTGGAAGAAACCGCCCCTACAACAAACAAAAATGGTCATTTCTAGACTTAAATGTAAAACTATCATAAATTTAACTTCCAAGCTCACATAACAACATTCTTGGAAAACCACAAATCATAATAAATTCAGAAAGTCATTGCACATGACACATTAGCTTTTAATCAATCGATATACAAAATGTGCAAACACAAAAGACCATTGGAGTTTCAGCACACAAGAAGTTGGGCTGGACCTTTACTTCTATTTACCCTTATTGTAAACAGTTATAGTTGGCTTTTCATTCATACATATTACAATTCTCAGTTAAACTCTCTTTGGGTTTTCCCTTTTTTCTTTCTTTCACTTACCTTTTCTGTGCTTAGAATCATAGATATTTCTTCATTTTAAGGCTGTATTCTTCTTTCGAAAAGATAAATGAAAAGGACTCCAAAAAAATGGAGACTTATGAATGGCCAATAACACAATAAAAGCTAATTTAAAGTTCGATGAACACAACAGCAAACACATTGCCATATTTGAAGTTATATAAAAATATAGAACCAATAACAAAATGTTTGCATGTGACCCTATGTAGTGATTGTTTGCTTCGTTTTATCTTTTTAAAATTTGAAGTTGCATTTGTTTTTATGAATACTATTAGCATTTCATAGGGGAAAAAGATCAAGCATTCCTAAATAAGATACCTTCGAATATTTATATATGCATAGAACCTTTTTTCTAAAAAGAATACAATCTGACAACAGACTATCTAAGTTCGATTAAGCCATGCATTCATTATTTCTCCAAAGCTGCCAAAGAACCTCTCAACAAAGTGTCACTTAACTCGTAAGTTGCATACCGTTATTCCTCTTTGCAAGAACATTATGTCAGAAACATTTCATGGAATTTTCTTATGTATCCTAGTGTAATTTAGTAGAAAATTTAACGAAGTTGAGTCTGCAATGACTTAAAAAAGACAAGAAAAAAACTAAAACCTGCTGCAAACTGATTCTGTACACATCTGGAGAGGATGCAGCACAAAGCAAGTCAGCAGACCAGTTGTCATATTCAATATTCCTTCCCATCCTGTTGATGGCATAGATACAAAAAAATATTAGAGTTTACTCGTTCATAAACCACAAGAAAAATGAAACCATAAAACTAGAGCAAGATCAATTTGTAGCCATATCTCAAATCTGTCTGTCTTTCTTTAAATAAGAAGCTATTTTATTGATGAAATAATTTTACAAGGCAAGCTGACAAAATCAAAGGGATAAAATGGAAATCAAAGAAAGATCAAGATTTCAAATATACTCATCCAAGGAAGACCACGAGGAAGCTACAAAAACTAGCCTTTCATGAGTTATAAATATTTTATCAAGATTTAGTTCCGCAACTAAATGGCATGAAGAATTCCACCCTCACTAAGCAAGAAGAGATAGTGAAGACTATCAATCCCAAGCCATCCGTATCCAAGGAGAAAAATGAAAATCTTCTAAATGACTAGGTAAGCCTTGCCGCACTCCAGAGAAGGTCTCTCACATTTAAAAATAAAAAATAAAAAATAAAAAAAAGATCGACCTTGCTAGAGATTCTAAAAGTTGAGAGACGTCACTTGAGGCGATTGGAAAGGAAAAACTAAATAAGAGCCCAAATTCAAAAGTTCAAGAAGTCTTGAGTTTTTTCAAGCATTCTGCCATTTGCTTCATTAAATGACTTTTCAATAGTTTAAATGCCTATCAATACTCCAAGACTTGGTGAATAGACGCTCCTTTTGTGGCAGCTTGCTGGTCTCTAAACTCTATGGCATTTTTGGCATAGCTGGTATCATTTCTAAGACAGCCATGAAACAGCTTCAATCCACAACTAATCTCAGGCTCTCCCTTCAGCTAATGCGATAATGCTCACCTTTGAAGCATGGGATTCTACATGAATTAGAGGATATTCCAAGGGATTGAAACTTTTCTAGATGGATTTCGGACCTAGTTAGATTTCTACTTTAGAATGGACTCGGTCCCTGATCAAGCCATGCTTCTTATTCATAAAAGGAATAGTTACAACCTCAAGATGGAGTTGCGATCACAAGAAATTCTTTGGCAATCACAGTGTTCGTTTAATTAATGATCATTTGGAGGCTTACATGTGCTAGCTATTTTGGTAAGCGTTTAGTCTTCTGTACCCATTTGTGCTCTTTGTAAATAGTATTCTCTTATTGATAAAATAAACCCGTAACATGATCAGAGCTAATTTACAACAAAATTGGGTGGGGGGGAATTAACCTTGGTATCCGCAAAGTGTGATGTTTTCCATATTTAGCATGGAGAACAATAGAACGATCAGCACACATAAATGCCAACTTTGAGTAGTCATCATCCAGTATCTATATAGGAGAGAGGAAAAAACACATTAAATTCGGTTAATATTGCAAAATTCTGAAGGAAAAAAACTATCCGCAAAATCAATGCCTCATCAAATATTAAACCTGTCTTCCATTCCCACCTTCAAATCCATTCCAAAAAGGGGAAACATGTGTGCAACAGATAAGAAGAATAATTGGCACAAGGAAAATAAAATAATAGCACGGAAGAACAATTACGCAAATTTTTTAAAATTATTTTAGGGGGCCCTCTTAATTTGTTCTTTCATTAAAGTCCATAGAAACTTTTGTTTATATTATATACATAATGTCAAACGGAAATTAACCTTTTTAAAAAAAAATATATCAACCACTATGCATCTGATCATGCCAAACGGTTTGAAATCAGAGATATCCAAGGCAAACTGAGATTTCAGCCTAAAAGAACCCCTTAGTTTTGTCTATGAGGAATCGATGTCCATCTCAAGAGTAATACAACTCCATATAAAGTTACACTACAAGAGTATTAGTTACAGGCATTTTGTAAAAATGCAAATACTAATTTATTGCTTTCCTTCCATACAGCATAAATTCTACTCAATTCATCGCACGCACTCTTCACATGCATAATAATACTTTTTAATAAGAAACCACACACAGGAATAATATTTTACGACTAAGATTTGACAAGAAGATGACTAGACAATTAGATGTTAGCCTAGTCCAAGTACATGTTAAAGCCTAAAAACACGTCTGTTTTTAGCAATTCATTGTCCTATGCTCAAAAAATGATATTTGGACATACAAGAGTTTATATTGCATAAAGGTCATATCATTTAAAATAAAAATAAGCTCCCTACTTATCAGGAAGAACAGATATGCTTCTGTTTCTAATTCTGAATAAAAATTTAACCAACTCCATGCAATCTTAAAGAATACAACACACCTTTCCAACCCAACTCAGAGCTCTCCAGCATAAAATTTACCTGGAAGTCGATTATCTCTGAATCAAAATGTCTTTTGAACTTCAATGAAAGTTCCCTCAGTTCATATACTTTAACTTGCGGTGGATAGATACCTATTTACAGCAATACATAAGTAACAATAGATACTACAAAAAATCAGTATTTCTTATGAATCTTCTTACTGATTACTGATGCTAATTTTAGCTTGCCTAAAATCACCTGATGCTATAAGAAACTCTCCGTCGGGGGTTGCTTTTATTTTGCTTGATGCAATGTCAAACCTCAAATCCTGGATCAAGTCCACCCTTGACGTGTAATCTGACACATCAACGAACAAAATTACAAACAAGAATGGATGATAGAAAATATAAAAATAATCAATTGTTTTTACAGGACGGCAATGTTGCAGATGAACGCTGGGAGGAAGAAAGGTTTTATAATGAAATTATTGGTAAAACCTAAGTAAATAGTGCAGAAATCACGTTACATGAGCAACAAACATTATAAGTAGAGTATTTACTCAAAGCAAGAAACCACAGAACCAGCACACCAGTACCAAAAAGAACAAGAAAGCAATAACCGAGATCACAAAGATTCCTGCTTGTTCAATTCCCAAAACGGGAAATTGTCCGTTGATCACAAAGCAGCCAATCCACCATGCCAGTAAACAGGATGGAAGAACACAGTTGTTACAACATAAGAGCAAGATGCAATTTGATGGCAGAACCCAATAATGCTTTGAGGGAACAAGGAAAACCTTGGCTACCATTATAGAGAAAAACTACATTCTCGGTTTCCATGTAATCTACATACTTGGGCAAATTGCATATGCATATATAAAAGGTTGTTTGATAACAGCAGAACAATGTAAAAACAAGGGTGGAAAGAGCAACAATAAAGATTCAGAAAATATTCTTTTTAACATAATGTAGCGAGGAGGAATCCCATAATTTAACCCTAGCTACGGAAAGAAAAAACCGATAACTAAACACCAATAAACACTTCAAAGATGGGAGGAACCGGAAGAAAAGATAGATACCGTAAGAGCATTTACTGGCCAACTAGATAATGGTCAAACCCGATTCAAGAACAAGGAAGTGTTACACTGTGCATTATAGAATCGTCACTATTTCCCTCTTATTAGATCAATAAGCATTCATTTATCAAGCATATTTTCATCGAACATTAGTTTGTTTCTTCTCTTTATTTTTAAACAAGAAACAAAACTTCATTGATAATATGAGCTTCCCTAAAGCAAATAATCGAATAGAGGCTAATAAAACGAGTTTCGAGTTAGAAGTTCAATAAACGAAGTTTTGTACTAAGACGAGAATAACAAATTGAACTGGGGAAGGGAAAACTAGTTAACAACCCTTGTCTTTGCGCAGAGCTCGCAGCTTCTTGGGATTGATCCAAGTAGCAAGAGAGCGTTGTTGGGATGCTACAGTGTAGAGCTTAACCCCATTAATGGAGGTGGACTTGAGGTTTCCTCCTTCGTACGCCATTGAAGATTGGTTTAGGGAAATTGCTGTTGCTATAAGCCACGGAGGCAGAGCAGAACCAGGTGAGGGCGGCGGCGGGTATCGTGGTGGTAAATGGAAGGGATGCGAGAACGGTACCTAAACTAGAAAAGGGAAGAGTTCAATGAAAACCTTAAACAAATAAATTGAAAGAAAAAAAAAATTATATATATCTTTTTTTTTTCTTTTTTTTTTGTAAATTATTGAAATTCGACTGGTTTAATATATATTATATTTTCGCTAAATTAATTTAAAAAATGCATTAAATAATATTCTTAAATTTAAAAATATACTCAGCATTTCAAAAATACCATATATTAATACTCATAAACTTTTTCTAAAGACTTCAAAAATACCTTTGAAATCTTTTAAAAACTTTATATATATATATATATAAATTTTTTGTTATCACTTATATATAATTCAAAAATACTCATGAACTTTTTGAAATAATTATAGATATCCTTGGTTAATGTATTAATAATTTTTTGGGAACTCTTATTATAAAGTTAAAAGAGATTGATATTACTTTTAAAATTTTATGAATTGTATTTATAGTAAAAATATTTTTTAAAAAATAAATTAAATGATATTTTGTGAACAAAATACTCCCATTTGAGTTTTTTTTTTTTTTAAGTTTAAATATATTAATGAAAATTTTAAAATTTTAAAAGTATTTTTAGGATAATATAAAATTTAGAGATATTTTGAAATACATGAGTGCAACATTTAAAACTAATTTTTCCCAAAAAAATAAAAAATAAAAAATTAAGTGTTTAACTTAATTCCTCTAAAATTTTCACAATACATACAAATGACAAAATTACCCATCGTGTTCTTCTAATTAAACAAATGTCAAACGTAATTTACACCCATAATAAAGCACTAAAAATTTTAGGACGTAGAACTCCAATCACGCCCTAAATATATATTATTATTTATTTGGTCTAATAATTTTGCAATATAAAAAGTATATAATAAAAATTTGATTTTTTAAAATTCTATTTTAAGAAAGCCACAGGGCCCACAAGGCAGGTCCATGAACTGTGAAGCTCAAATGGCCAAACTGGGGTCTCTCCTTTTGAGCACCACAGGACACCCATTCTCCATCCTCAGCGTCAGCGACAACAAATACTTTGGACTCTTCTCCTTCTCCGCCATCCCCACCTCAAACCTCTCTATCACCGCCGCAGCTATGGACTTCATCTGAATATAAGCCATCTCCTTCCCCAAGCACATCCTCGGACCCGCGTGAAACACCGGGAACCGAAACGGGCTCTCCGCCCTACACACCCCATTCTCCACCCACCTCTCCGGCAAGAACTCCCCGCAATTCTCCCCCCAAATCCTCTCCATTCTCCCCATTGCATATGTGTGGTACGTCACGAACCACTCCCTCCCAACCAACGTCCCGTCCGGTAAAACGTCCTCGTTCCGGCACGCTTTCGTGTCCACCGGCACCGGCGGGTACAGCCGCAGAGTCTCCGAAAGTGCTGCTTGTAGATAGTGCATATCTCGGAGCTCCTCGAAGCTGTACTCTGCTCCGAGTTTCTTGCCGGTTCTTGAGCGGATTGTTTCCAGCTCTTTGAGGATTTTTTGTGTGATGTTTGGTCGGGAGGATAGGATCCAGAAGAACCATGTTAGAGCAGAGGAGGTGGTGTCTCGGCCGGCGAGGATGAAGCTTATGATTATGTCTCGGAGGAATTCAGGGGAGTTGTTTTCTTGGCTTCCCATAAACCGGGAGAGTAAATCTTGGTCGTTTTTTACATGCGTTGTCTTCTTCTCTTCCATTCTTGAGCGTATGATGTCCTCAGCAAATTTGTGAACTCTGGCTATGGATTTCTTCAGGGTTCTCTCTGATCCCATATTCAAAAATTTCTTCACTTTGTACAAACCCGGCAAAGCATACATAAATCTGCTTTTGCCAACAAAAGAAATTATATTTATTTTGTGTTTCATTTAATCAAGGAGAGAAATGAAGGGAAGAACCTGCCAGAGCTGAGAGTGGCGGCGTCCTCGAAAGCGCGCATGAAATCGGCGCCGGAAGTGCCATCGCCGCCGAGACAACAGGGGTCGAAATTAAAAGCCAATTTACAAACATTATCAAACGCAAATCGCTCCAAAACGTCCTGCAGATCCAAAATCCGTTCCGTTTCAGAAGCCTTTCCCAAAATAGGCAACAGCCTCGTCTGAATCTCAACCGTGACATTTTCCATAACGAAATTCCTCAGCGATTTGGTGTTGAACTCATAACTCGCCGTCTTCCTCTGAACTTTCCAAATTTCTCCGTCGGAGTTGAAAATTCCGCGTCCCAGAAAATCCTCCAAAAGCGAAATGAAGCGTTTTCCTTTAGGGTAATTCTCGAACTGGGTCTTCAGTATGTGCTCCACCACAAGTGGGTTTGCGGTGATTACGCCGTGAACCTTCCCCGGACGACGGAAGACCGCCGTGTTGGTCTGGCAGTTGCTGAGAACCTCCGTCGACCAGTCAAGAAAACGGTGTCGGTTTAACAAGAAGAGCGGCAAGGTTCCCACTATGGGGAAGTGTTTGAAACCTTGGTTGGATTTGGATTTCTTTGGTGAAGCGAAGAGAAGAAGGTAAAGGCAAAGGGATAGAAAGGTAAGGAAAAGGAAGGCTGTTGCAGAGATGTCCATTGAAAGCGGCGGAGGAGTACGGGAGAGCTTTTCTTCGTTTCTCTTTATCCTTTTGAGTCAATTTTTTTAAAAGATAGGATGGGGCGCTACGATCCAAAGAAATGATCGATGGTTGATTATTCACCGAAAAATATTCTGAATTTATTTTTACTTTTTACGTATTTTTATTTATAATTTTGTGGTTAATCTTCATGTTAATTATGTTGATTAGTTTAGAGTTTTAATTATGATGTACATGCCACTAAATTAGTATTAGTTTAATTTGGAATTTGAATCAATTATTTACTTCAGATAATAAAAAACAATATTATTATTTTGTTTCTTTGTACATATGGGCCTTAAATTAAAATGATCGGGCCTTACATTAAAATCACTAAACTAAGGTGTGCGATTAATCAATCCATGATTAATCCAAGAACAAGGCCTCCCAACTCCTTCTAAGTGATCACTCTCCTAACCTCAAATGACCCATTTTAAACGACAAACAATTTGGCAATTTGCTGGTAACTCAGTTGCTACTCATTAGAGATCCTCGTTGTTAACTCGTTGCTACTCGCGAGAGAGTAGAAACGACAGTCCACTCCTCAGCGTACTTGGAGGCATAGATATGGAGGGAACTCTTGGTGGCCCAAATCAACATTTTCCAATCTCATTGAGAAATATGAAAACTCTAAGTTAAAAATACTACAAATAGGCTATTATGATGGCTCGAGAAAGAGAATTAAAGCTAACCTGACTCTAGTAGTTAATTTAAGCATCAAACATGTATGATGGATGCCTGGTATCTAATCTGGTTTTCCGCGTCATCTCTTTTCTCAAAATACAAATTTAGGAGTGTGGTAATGTGAAACAGCGAAGTCCGGATATAAAAAGAATATAGTGGCCGGCTAGGTACATGGAAAGAGAAGAATAAGTAATGATTACATCACACAATTTTGGATAAAAGCAAATCAGGTGGGACGCCAAGAATCGACATCGTTTGTCGCCTACTCAGACGTGGGTTGGTGAAAAAATTACCAAGATTTCTTCTCCTTCGTATCCAAAAACCAAACAATAAGAGAGCAAAAACAAAGCGAAATTGGGAATGGAGCTTAAGTTTGTCGCTACCCCAAATGCTAAAAGCTGGCAGTTTTGTTTAATCAACTTTAGTGGTAGTAGTGGCTCCGAGTAAGCCCATTTTTTAAGCATATCAACGTGGTCCTTTTGAAAAGCTCTTGGTTCTTTTGGAAAGGAATTAACTGGGTGGGAAGGATAGTGGATGCCAGTATTGTTTTCATCCTATGTTAAATCAATCGAGGACCATAATTTATGTGTAAACTATACCATAAACTATTCATGAATAATAATTTATGGCAATTTGAGACATCTTTCTCGAGCTTGATTCATGTCTTTGAGATATTGTACAAGGAAATGAAGCAAACTTTGGCAGCATTTGGGTTATGTTCATCCATCACAATTGTGGTTTACTTTACAGCCAAGTAGTGAAAACCCATAAAGGAGATACCACACTCATATTAAAAGCGAGGCCTAACTCCACTTTCACAAACTAACCCATACAAGAAAGAATAATAATAATGAATCCAAAAAGACATATACCTGGTTTTTAACCTACCTTTCTTATGATGGCGATGATTCTTGTTGTGTTTAAAGAGAAAAAAATGTTAGGAATCACAACTATCCACAGTGATACGGTATTGTTGACTTACTTTACTTTGGACTTCTTCGAAATGCCTCATATCCCCTTAATTAAGTAACGTGGGAGGAGCGTACATGTTTACTTAGCAAGTTGAACCTGGAGGAGAATGATGTTATTACAGACATCAAAAACCCTGAGTTGAAGCCAACGTATGGTTGTTTCAAGTGGAATCTTACAGACCCTTCTGTCCAAGAAAACCAACAACTCTAATGATTGTTCCAACATACTCGTGGATTGCTGCCTCAACATATGGTCTTCTCTTATGGGTTCCCATTACACAACTGTTTTCATGTCTTCTCTCACTCCCAACATGTCTATTTAGCCAATTGTTGGTGGTCAGTTAATTGGTTCGATTTAAGAGGATGATCCGCTACATTGAAACTGGGACATGGTCCAGACATGTACGAGAGACACCATTGAAACTGGGACATGGTCCAGACATGTACGAGAGACACCGACAAAGAATGGACAGGCTAGTAGCGCGCATGGAGGTAGAAGGCAGAAGGGGTTGAATGTAAAGTGCATGAATTTGGGAAGTTGAGTAGTAGCTGAGTCACGTCAGCACAACATCCACAACTTTTGGGTGCAAAAACCAAGATGAGTAGTAGCAGATATATGTTAGTGTTGTTTGAGTGCAGATTGTTGTAATTGGAAAGACAAGGCAACGTCATCGCCATTGGGAGCTGATTAGATTTCCATTTCTTCTCATTATTTTCCATTCCATTCCATTGGGTGCTCCACTCACCATTCGAACCTGATGCTGATGCTGAAGCTGATTAACTTGCTTTTGTTGGATTGTTGTAAATTTAGTCATTTCTTTTACATTATATTGTCTTAACAACAAGATTTTAATATCAAACTTACCAAATCCTTAGGCTTCTTCCCACCGTTGTTTTTGTTTTCCTTTCATTTTGCTTAAAGCTTTGTCCAAACATATTACTTACAACATATAATATGTCCCAAACATATTGGAAACTGACAACACTTATCTAAACGATCAAACTTCAAAGTCTTTCCAACACTTATCTTAAATCATCAAACTTCAAAACCCTAACCCGAGGTACCCATTTAAAGGTCTAATTTTTTTCTTAGGATTTCGTACTACTTTTTGTTGTCCTTATCATCCTTTCTTACCACAATCTCCCAAACTCTTTAGGTTTACCAATTTCATTAGTGTGAGATCCCAAATCGGTTGGGGAAGGACGTGGAAACTTCTCCCTAACAGACGTGTTTTAAAAACGTCAAGGGAAACCCCAAAAGAAAAAGTCCAAAAAATACAATATTTACTAATGGTGGGTCTAGATTGTTACAGTTAGTGAGTAGTTAGTGAGTAATAAGAGAACAAAAATCTTCAATAGGAAAAATGATTAACTAACTCTTTCCTTAGAATGGTTCTTCTTATTGTCAGTTTCAATATAATAAACGCCAATTATCTTTAGTTATTGCAACGTCGGAATAAAATAATGGTACATGAATGAATTGATAAGACTCATCCCAAAGACATTAAGTACGTTTAAAAGGTACTATCTACACCAATACATCCTGATTTCCGTTTTGAATCGCACCCATATTAGGCAATGATCACTGGGATGTGGGCGTGTGCACCTGCAATGCAAGGGTGGTGCCAAAGGCTCCAAACTGGTTCACTTCAACGAATCTGAGTGTTGGTGTGGGTGCCAGATTCTACCAATTGGCTCAAAACCTAAACCAAATCATCCCACCACCACCCATTCCTTCATCTTTCTATGCCCTCACTCAATATCTATATATCTTAAAACAAAGAAGGTGACGACGCAGCAACAGTGGATCCCACCATATATATACATATATTTTATATCTAAAGCATGTTATCCACCTCACTTCTTCTATGGATATCTACCTATCTTTTTTTAATATACAATTACATTCGTATTATATATTACGTGCACCTCATGATACCAGACTCATAACTTAAGTCCTACCTACGTGTCACAACCATATTCATGGATAGGGTCGAGTTGGATTGGAACGAAAAAAATTTCAATTACTTTTCTTCTCTTGAGTTCTAATACGTCAGAGAAAATGAACTTCCAATCTTTGGTTACGCAACGCATCAAATAAAAAAATATTTATTCATTTTGTTTCCTTACTTTTTTAAAAATAAATATATGTGGCCAAGTGTTAACATAAATGAAAGGATCTAGATGGGATAGTATGATTGTTTGAGTGGTTGCTTACATGAGCATATTCTTATTTATATTGGATTTTAATAAATAAATGAACCAATAATGTCATGTGTTAAATATCCCACTATTCATATATTTGCATCAGCAAATATTTAATTTATTCTTCAGAAAATAAATAAAAAAAGCTCCCATGAAGTGGCCTATAAATATGGAGTCTTGCAGGCCATTTTCTCTTAAGAAACACACTAACATACATCTTCCTCTTCTTCTCTTTTAGCATAACAGTAATGGGATTCATAGAATGCCTTGGCCGCTTCTTTCAAAATGCAAGGCCTTACATCGCAGTCATCTCCCTCCAATTCGGCTACGCCGGGATGAACATCATCTCCGTCGTCTCCCTCAACCGTGGTATGAGCCATTACGTCCTCGTCGTCTACCGCCACGCCTTTGCCACCGCTGTCATGGCTCCTTTTGCTCTCGTTCTCGAGAGGTACATATCTTTGAGATTCATTCTTGCTTATATAACAATTCTCATTTCTTACTCACCTAGTACTGTACTATTCATGTTTGTAGGAAAGTAAGACCCAAGATTACATGGAAGATTTTCATTCAGATGTTTGTTCTCGCTCTTCTTGGGTTAGTATATCAAAACTCGATAGTTTTTCCAAACACCCATTAATCCGATCTTTCGTATATTTCATAACGTCGATCTCAACAGGCCACTGATCGATCAGAATTTCTACTACGTCGGGCTGAAAATGACATCCCCAACGTACTCGTGTGCCATAAGCAACATGCTTCCTTCGATGACATTCATCATGGCAGTCCTTTGCAGGATGGAGAAGCTGGACTTGAGGAAAGTGAGATGCCAAGCCAAGTTGTTTGGAACAATAGTGACGGTGATGGGAGCCATGTTGATGACATTTTACAAAGGAAGTGTCATCAACTTCTTCTGGACCGAGCAAGCCCACCACCCGAACTCACCACCGACAGCGGATACGGCTGCGCTCAACCACCACCACGACGGAGAGTTCATCAAAGGCTCAATTTTGCTCATCATAGCCACTCTAGCTTGGGCGGGGTTCTTCATTCTCCAAGTCATAACCTTGAGAAAATACACCGCCCATCTTTCTCTCACCACCATGGTTTGCTTTTTGGGAACCCTTCAGGCCATTGTTGTCACCCTCGCTATGGAACACCGCCCCTCCGCCTGGG